GAAAAAGGAATTTCTAGGATTTAAAGAAGAAATTATGGCTGAGGCATGTGCCACCTCCGTTGCAAAGAATCTTGCGTCGAAACTCGGTGAGTACCTGTTTGTTTCCATTGGACGTCAATTTGGGTATGTGCTGTGCTACAAGAGCTACCTCCAAGATCTCAAAAATAGAGTGAAGGAGCTGGAGATTGTGAGGGAAAGGGTGCAACGCTTGGTCGATGAAGCCATGTATGACGGAAAACTTATACACACTGATATTAAGAATTGGCTGGAGAGTGTGGAGAATATAGCTAAGGAAGTAGAAAACCTATTAAAACATGGCGAAAGTGCAAAAATTGCTTGCTTCTGCGGGTGGCTTCCCAACCCCGTGGTGCGCCATCCAATCGGTAGAAAGGTGAAAAAGATGACTCGAGTCATTCAGGGACTCCATGAGAAAAGCCTAAATAGTGTCTTCCAGAAGGTCTACTATGAGAATACTCCGATAGGAATTGTTACAGATATCACTTCCGCTGCAAGATCTGTTGACAACAAAGAAGATGTCCTGGAGTCAAGGGCTTCAATCATAGAGGATTTAATGAAGGCTATAGCAGATGACAAGGTCTGTGTGGTTGGGGTGCATGGACCAGGTGGAGTTGGCAAGTCCAAGCTTTTGGAGGATATCGAAAGGCGAGTTAAGGAAGAGAAGTTATTTGATGTGGTTGCCAAAGCAGACATATCACGCAATCTTGATCTCAAAAGAATCCAGGGAGAAATCGCTTATGCACTAGGTCTAAAAATAATGAATGAGGAAACTGCTCGTGGGAGAGCAGATCTTTTGTGTAGGAGATTAGAGAGTGGTCCTAAGAAAAACATTCTCATAATTTTAGATAATTTGTGGAAGAAGCTAGATTTGAAGGAAGTTGGAATCCCTTGCGGAGATGATAATAAAGTAAGAGGCTGCAAGCTATTGCTAACATCTAGATACCGAAATATTTTGCTCACTGACATGGGCTGTGACCGAGACTTCCGACTCGATAAGTTAAAGCATGGAGAAGCACAAAGACTTTTTGAAAGGATAGTGGGAGATAGAGTTAAACATCCTGACTTTAAACCCTTGGTAGATGGAGTGGTCAAGAATTGTGGAGGCTTGCCACTTTTGATTATTACATTGGCAAAAAGGTTGAAGCACGGAGATTTGGCTACATGGAGGGATGCTTTGACGAATATAGAAGGGTTAGATGTAAAATCCATGGTGGAACTAAATTACAATGACTTAAAAGATGAGAGGATCAAATCATTGCTCTTGTTGTGTGCTCTATACTCTGGGAGAATCTCCACGAGGTACACCTTTGTCTACTGCATGGGTTTGGGTTTATTGAAAAAATTCAGCCAGCCCATTGAAAACGCTAGAGATAGGTTCATTTTGGATCTACAAAGCTTGCAAGACTCTTCTTTGGTACCGGATAGTGATAACACAAAACGGTTTAGAATGCATGACATATTTGTTGATGTGGCCATCTCTATTGTTTCCACCGAATGGAACGCCTTGGTTGGGAGGAAGGATTATGGGTTTAAAGAATGGTCAAAGGATGAGCTCAAAAAATGCACCGCAATATCCTTCCCTTATGCTGGCATTGATGATCTTCCTGAAGAATTGGACTGCCCAAACTTGAGGATTCTTTTGTTACTTGAAAGCAACCAGTCTCTCGAAATTCCTGAGTCATTTTTTGAATCTATGGAGAATCTCCAAGTTTTGGACTTTTCTGGATTTTCTTTCACCTCTCTACCTTCATCGGTTGAGTTCCTTAAAAACCTTAAAGCGCTATGTCTTGAGTACTGCCGTATGGAGGATCTGGCTATTCTTGGAAAGCTGAAAGGATTGCAATTTCTAAGTTTCTTTAGATCTGCAATCACTCGGTTGCCAAAAGAAATAGGTGGACTAAAAGAACTGAGATTTTTGGACTTGAGAGGGTGCACCAAGCTCAAAGTTATTGAACCTGGTGTGCTTGGAAGCTTGGTTAATTTAGAAGAATTGTATATTGAAGATAGTTTTGATCAGTGGGAGGCTGAGGATGAAGCACCACGAAGCAATGCTAGCCTGGCTGAGTTGAAGAACTTGAAAAAGTTGAGCACCTTGTACATTGCCATTCCTCGTTCTGCCAATCTCTTAACAGACTTGCCATTTATGAAATTGAACAAGCATAAAATCCAAGTTGGGGACGTTTGGGATTGGTCGGGTGAATACAAAGAATCCAGAACTTTAAAGCTCAAGCTGGATTCAGGTAGTCTTCTTCTTGAAGTGTGGATGCAGAGATGTTTGCAAATAACACAAGATCTCCACTTGGATGGAATACAAGATGGCAACGATAGCATTCACGATTTGTGCATTTAAGGTTTTCAGGAATTGAAGCATCTTCACGTACAAAAGAGCCCCTCACTTCGGTACGTTGTTCACTCCAGAGAGAATGTCCCGTGCACTGCATTTTCTAGATTAGAATCATTGTTTCTCAAGAATTTGAACAACTTGGAGAAGATTTGTTGCGGCTGTCTCGCCCCAGAATCCTTCAGCAAATTAAAGATTGTGAAAGTGGATAACTGTGGTGAAATCAAATATTTATTTCCTTTATCCATGAAGAGAATATTATTGCAGCTCGAAGAGATTGAAATAAGCAAATGCCACTTGATGCAACAAATTGTCGCAGATGTCGAGGCAGATGAAGATAGAGATGAAATAGAAGATGATCCCAAAGTGAAGTCATGCAATTTGCATAGGCTGACTTTGCGAGACTTGCCAGAGATGACGAGCTTTTGGAAAACCGTGGATCATTCGATCGTACTCTTCAGCGGACAACAGGTAAATTTCATGATTTCTAAAAAGGTTATGTTTTCCTCCATTGGGACCATCCTAGTTGGAGGAAACCTTTCTCCAACTAATTTTTTGATCCACAAGTTACAAACACGGACATTGCCTTCAATTGAATATATTAGTCATAGAAATACACTTGGTTTAAGCATAGATTTGCTTATTACTCAATTAGTGATAACGTGGATAGTGAAATATGAGGAAAGACGGACAAAACAACATAAATAAAGTTTTCAACTTTTATATCCCTTTTCACTTTCCTCCTTACCTTCAAAGGTATTTAGTTGAAGTCACACATTGTGCAGACTTTAAAATATTTGACTTGCTGAAATATATAATTTGGAGATATAACGTATACAAGTTTTATGTAATTTTACCAAGTAATATGCATTTATCTACCAAACGAAAAAAAATTAGTAACATTTGGATCGTTTAATAAAATTAATTTTATTTGAAAGGATTATATGAATTTTCTATTTATAAACACATTGAAGTACTGACTTTAGAATTATCTCAATTTATTTTTGACATGTGCAACTAAATGATGAGTAATAATGTGATACTTTTTCCATTTTGAAGTAAATGAAATTTTATGCATGGATTTTATACGTAGGAGTATAATAGCATGTACAAAAATTGGATTCTTGAGGTTTTATATTCCAGAATAATTAAGACAAATAATAATTTGATTTTTAAAATGGAATTGATATGTGATTTGTGACTGGATAAAAACATTTATTTATTAGTTAATTACATCTCTCTTTTATTTGTGTTATCTTATCAACATAGTTAAACAAGGGCCACATGAAGTATAGATTTTTTAAATAATCTAATTTTTATTATTGCTTAATGGTAGAATTATATATGTATACACATACATTTTGGGATGTATCCAAAATTTGAAGAAAGTAAATACGACCTACATAATTTGTATGACCTTCATTTAATAACTAATTGACATATGTAGAATTCTATTATATTTATTAAAGGAAAAAAAATAATTTTTTTTTCAATAGGTGAATTTAACTTTAATGACTATGGGGATAACATCCAGATCGTTGTACCCAACATTCAACAAAAAAGATCTTTTCTATTATATAAATTAAATTTTCAATTTTTGTCTTAAGTACATCGATCTTCGAGTAATTGAAACAATTAAGTTGCTTTTTTCCAATAATTGTAAAAAGTTGTGGTAGGTGAATGGACCATTGCGAAAATATGGTTCTACAAAAAGTTCAATAATATAAATTTTTTATACAAATTACCCATTAATTTATGGACCTATTAGGTGACTACGAAATGAAAAATCAAATATAATATTTGATAGACCATTTTTTGTTTGTTACCTTTGGTACATTAATGAAATGTGGGTGGGATAATTAATTTTTTTTGTTCTTGTTCATGTAACTGTGGATCTTTTATGGTGATCAAATCTACCACAAACCTTCACTCTAACCACTTTTCTAATATTACTAGTAGAATTTATGTTCGCTATAATTTTTTTTGGTAATAAAATATTGCTTGAGATTATTAATCAGAAACACATCTAGCATTCATTTGAGCACAATAGCTTGGATCTAACAATTTCTGTAACTATTATGTTAGTATAAAATAAGAAAATGGAAACCCGTTTTAAATCATATTTCAAAATTATGTTATCAAGTGACCCAAACCACAAAAGCGTGATGCCCGACTAAAATCATTTGTTAAATTAAGTAACTCTTTTTCTTAGCTACATAACTAAAACTTTCCACATAAATTATATCATAACTAAAACTTTCCACATAAAATCATTCGTTCATGACTATTGGGTAGAAAATAATTGAGACTATTTTTTCGCTGTCTTTTGAGATATTATATAAGACCGCTGTCATTGACTAAAAAAATTAATTGAGTCTATGCCATGAATTCGTAAAATTTAGGCAGAAAGCACAAAATGTGAGGGTCAATCCATAACCTCAATAATTCAGGGATTATGAATTCTCTCTTACTATTACACATATAATTTGAAATGGACTAGGCACGACAACTAAAAGAGGATGAGTTGGTTGCTCCAGGAAACTCGAATATTTTTTTGTGAAAATGTGATGGACAAAATGTAGATGGTGCACTGGTACTGTAAAAACATGAGCACTCATGCAGAATAACAGTCTTCTATCAAATAGAAATTGAAAGAGTTTAAAGGATAGAAGAAATACAAATGAGATTTATAACGGTTCAGCATTCTATCAGCTCTAACAGTCTCAACAAGGCTGGAATTCACTGTGTAATTCTTGAGATGTTCATCTTGTACAGAATGTGTTGCTTTTGCCTGAAGCTCCTAAAGTTGCATCTTCAAACTCGAGCACCCTTCACAAACACTATATCACTCTTCCATATGACAAATATTGACTCCCTCTATAGAGATCTACAATAGAAATCACTCTATTTTACACAAAGGAAAGCAAAAGAATTTAATGTTACAGAGAAAGTTGCTCGTGAGCTTCTTCCACTTCCACCAACCACTTTGATCTGTTTTAAAGACTTTCAATCTTCAAAATATCCGCAAGAAATTTTATCCAATCAAATAGTCATTGGTTTGAACTTCCTTCAGAGCTCTTTCTGCGAAGCATAGAAGACCATTTCCAAAAGTATAACACTCTTTCTTCTATAGTCTGCTCGACATCTTTTCTGCTTTCACAAAAATGGCAAAATAGATTTGATTCACTCCAGGCTGCTTTGGGCAGATTCCAAAACTTGAAGATAACTCTCAAACACCAACTTGAGTCCAATTCAAATTGATAACGAGCTGGGTCTTCTCCACTATGATTGTAGAGGCTCGTCTATAAAACCATCCAGTTTGTCTGTAGCATGTACTGCTTCTCCAGAATGGTGCTTCCACACTTTTCATGAATTATTTTATATGGGTTTATTCACCTTCTGCAAACATGTTCTTCCAAGCAAATTGATATCCTCATGTTCTACGGATTGTTCACCTTCTCTTGGTCCATCCAGACTTTAATGAACCCTGGTTTTCCAGCTTATTCTCCTTCTACAAAGATCCGTCCGGATTTAGACACACTTTTTGTCCAACAGATTATTCTCCTTGCAGAGCCAAAGCCTTCTCATGCTTTAGAGGTCCGGTTGTCAACACTACTGCATAATGTTTATGTATATAAAAGTTATTCATTCTAAATACTCAAATATATACATTAGTAGCCTTTGATTGTTTTGTAATTTTCAAAACATCATAATGGATATTCTCAACATATAAAGTCCAAATAAATAATAGGTAAACAATAAGTAAGTGCAAATATTATAAATTTTAAACAAGAATATGGTAAAATCAAAAAATCACTACTCTGCTTTTTCTTCTATTAGCTTTAAATCTATTACATGAGATTATATCCTTTATTACTGTTTCACATGCAATGGGTGTTCATATTTTCTAGTTACAAGCACTGTTATGAGATTATGTGGGGTTATTTACCGCTCGTATGCCTTCGTAACGTTATGCTCCTGGCTTTGTAAGGTTTCACTGCCCTGGTTGGAGTCCTTGACACTGTCTGAACTTCCCAAATTGAAAGAGATATGGAGTTCTCAATTTCCCTCAGATGTGAGCAACCTCAAATTTCTGAAAGTAGAGGATTGCACTTTCCTCTTGAGCATCATCCCATCAAATATACTAATGAAGCTACAAAATTTGGAAGCCATAACCGTTGAAAGATGTCAGTTAATACGAGAAGTATTCGACCTTGAAGGACTGACAGCTAGTGGGGATGTCGAGATCCTGTCACGATTGACCAAATTAACCTTAAGTGACTTGCCAAGTTTGGGATGCATATGGAACAAGAATCCAAGAAGAGCGATGTGTTTCCGAAACCTAAGTTCACTAAAGGTGCAAAACTGTGAGAATCTGAGGTTTCTTTTTTCTTCTTCTGTGGCTAAAGAACTTGGGCAAATAAAAGAAATAGAAATAGCAACTTGTAGACTGATGGAAGAAATTATGGATGTGCAAGAAGAAGAATCAGAGGAAGATGCAACCACCGCCACTTTAGAGTTCCCTCTATTAACCTCCTTGTCTTTTGAAGAATTGCCAAATCTCAGGACATTCTCTCATGGGAAGTACTACATTCACTGTCCATCCTTAACAAGACTGAGAATATCTGGATGCCCTAAAATGATGGCATTCTCTTTATCCGAAGGAAAGCAACAATCGATGACAGCTGATATGGGCTTACAACAAGCATTTGGTTCCGTCAACTCTGGCTTGTCCTTGCCTGCCTTCTTCAATCAAAAAGTACGTAATATCTTTGAAATTTTCCATATTATGCTTATTATAGAAATTATTCTCGGTTACTGTAATCTTATTGCCGATGAAGCAGTTGAAAACTCTATCTGTCAACATGTCCTGTAAAGCCTCTTGCTACTCCATGCATATGTCGTTCTTGTATGACATGACAATGGTGTAATCTTGGGTCATCAACTTCATTCTTGAGAATACATTAACATATTGGAGCATCCATATAAGGACTTTTAGGAGTTCATGGTCTAGAAGCTAACATGTGGTCCTTTCATACAGGTTCTTTTTCCGAGGTTGGAGGAGTTGACGCTCTTGTCGTTGTGCGGGTTGAGAAGGATATGGCACAATGAACTCCCTGAACAATCATTCTGTAGACTAGCATCCATCACTGTCGGAGATTGTGAAAATCTGTCTCATATTTTTCCTTCAAATTTAATAGACAGGTTCCAGAGCCTGAAAATGATTGAGGTGGTCAGGTGTACCTCTTTGGAAGCATTAATGGAATATGTTGCTGTCAATACTAAGAAAAGGCAACAACGTATGGTCCTCTTAGACTTAAAAGAAGTGAAGTTGTGGTACCTGCCGAGGCTGAATGCGGTTGTGACTAGCAGCGCTAAAGTAACGCTGGGTCTTCCTAGTCTGACTAATGTTAGCTTGCACTGTTGCCCCAGTTTGAGATATCTCTTCACAAATGGCACAGCCAGGACTCTTGATAAACTTGAGATGATAGATGTTTCTGGTTGCGATAACATTCAGGAAGTAGTTGCCGAAGAAGAAGGTGAAGAACAAAAGTTGAAGGTGGTGAAGTTCTCTCATTTACGCATATTGAAGCTTTGCTCCCTTAAGAGCTTGATTACTTTCAGCTCAGGAAGTTGTGCATATGAGTTTCCCTCCCTAAGAAATCTCTCAATCCTGGAGTGCACTGAACTCAAGGCATTCGTGTTGAGGCTGCCGGCGCCAAATGTGCAGATGATGAATGAGGGAGCTGCCAGTTTTGATGAAGCTCCACATTCTTTATTTGACGAGAAGGTTTTCCTCTTTCCTTTATCTCAGCGGTATCGCTGCTTGTGATTGGTTTCTTCTTTTTGATGCCCTGGACTCATAAGCAACTTTGCTTCTATGCCATTCATTGTGACTTTAGTCAGGTGATGCTTCTGCAGGTCATATTTCCCAAATTAGAAGAGTTACGTCTAACAGGAATCCAATCGAGAGAACTTTGGAAGAATGAGATGCCCGATGAGTTCATTTGCCGCCTAAAGGTCCTTGAGGTGAAGGAGTGTCACAACCTATTGAATGTTATTCCTTCATTCACGTGGAAGAGGCTGCTTCACTGTATGGAGTCCTTGACAGTGGAGTCATGCAATTCTATAGAAGGCATATGTACACTTGAGGACCCCGGTGTCATGGAGAAAGAAGCTGCAAGAAGCAGTCAATTGAGAGAGCTATCTTTATTTGATCTCCCAAATTTGACATACATATGGAACAATGAGGATTCGCTGAATCTTTGCTTTCATAACCTTACTTCTATTAGAGTTGAAAAGTGCCCGCGTCTGAGAAACCCTTGTACAATGTCTATGGAAAAAAGTCTGGGACAACTCAAATATCTGGGTCGAGGTGGTTGTGGAGAGATGGAGTACATTATTGCAAGAGAACAGGAGAAACCTGAAGAAGCAGCTGAGGAATTGAAATTCCTCGACTAGTTACTCTGTATCTTCACAACATGCTAAAATTCAGAATTTTCTGCCATGGGAAGCATTTTTCAGATTGTCCCTCCTTGAAAGAGTTACTGTGTAAAGCTGGGGAGGTGATTGCAAGAGATGCTAGTTATAGAAACCTCGATGGCAGCATTCCAACTCAGCAACCGATTTTGCTGGTCAAAAGGTTTGCACTCATTCTTCTTTAACGGCATATCTAGTTTCTTGTCCCTCAAGGTTTGACCTAGACAGTGCAAAGGTCGGTGGGGTGACTTCTGCTAACTTATTATTTTCTATTACAAATGTTTGATTTTTATTTGATAAGAAACATCTCAAAGCTACTTCTTCAATACAAACATATTGACACGTATATAAAAAAATTTCATAAGTTTCAAAAGTTTAATATATTTTTCTTTCATTTTCAAATTTTAGACTAGTGTAACATTTCACTAATACTGTGACTGAAGTACAAATATCAGCTCCAATTAACATTTTTAAGTAGGTTCTGCAAGTTGTTGTCAAGTTCATAAACAGTCTTCCCATCAATCGAAATTTGAGGTTTCCAGGGAAGTTTTAAGTAGGTTCTGCAAGTTGAGAAATTGTTTGAGCCACTCTATTGATAGACAGTGATATACTAATAAATATATTGTAGATATTCATGCCAATTGATCAAGCAAGTCATCCATTTCCATGATTGGCTCCACCTAATTTATCCCCAGGTCAGATCCACAAGAGGAAACGGCAAATAGTGAAGGCTGTAAACGGTGATCAATTGAAGTACCTGAGCTTCCATCTAGCCAAAATGTAAGTCTCATCATCACCCTGTGGATATAGGTAAAGCAGCAGGAAGTAAAAACCCGGGTTCAGAACAATGATGAAACAAATCTGAAGAATCTAATACTAATTATTTTAGCATTATGCATATGAGCCAGTAATTGAAACAAGTTCACTAGTTTCACACGTGTCGTAAGACAGACTTGACCTCATTGAGCATTTGCAAGTTCCAAACAGATGCTAGCAAGCAATGACATGTCCTAAGAATTCAATGAGAAAGAATTATGAAAGAACTATATCTATTGTACTTAAATGAAACTCGGCAATCTCTTTTTTTCCTTAATTCATGGTCAATTTGTCATTGATGGGTAAAATTTTCTACAGCTTGTGTGTGTATGTGCCTGCATGCAAAATTATAGTGGCACACATGCGCATATGCAAGATCCCGCAGATCGGAAGGGAAGCCCTAGCACTGGGTATCCATTCAGCCTAATGGGAGAATTACCGGCGGCCATCCCTCAATTCTACCATCGGCACTCATGGTAACAGAAATGCCAAGTTCGACCGGAAAGTGGGTGGGTTGATGAAGATAATCTAGTTATGTCTATCACTGAACCAGATTTGAACTTACAAAGAGTTACTACCTTTTGTATACTGTGTAATATTATCGATGGATGGTCAAAGAAAGGAACAAGTAATTTCAAGTTGCGCTCATACAGACCCTTACCTGAACAGCCAAACACCGAGGAATTAGTTGATTCTCATGAGGATGTGTACTTTATTGTATGCACATATATTAATGATTAATAATAGCTCAGTTCCTTCAGAAAGCTAATCACATGGAGGACAAAAAAAAATTGCATTCAGTTGTTTGGACAAGCAACAATAGACTTCGGAAATGTACTATGATATGATAAAGCCATACTAGACTGCAAGTAGCTTGAAGGCCACGAATGCTACAGACATAAAATATATGAACAAAATCTAGTCATGTTCATTTGCATCTAATTTCGAAGAAAAGATGTCTATAGAAACAGAAAACCACAAGACTAGTAAACATGAGCACTTCTCTTCTGGCACCAGAGTATCAAACTTTTGTGAATACTTACTTGGGAACGATTGATAGACTCATCCAGAGAAGATTAGTGCATCAGATGTGCTTTAATAAGCACATCAATCAACACAGGTTCTACAAAGGACCAAAAAAAGCAACAGTACTGGCTTGGACAGTATGGGATGGCTTTTTTGGTTGGGATGACCAGGGAGACTCTAAATTCATGACATCGAAGACCAAAATTAGAAACCAGCCAAGTCACCAAGCAGAATAGAACCAATGAAATCCCCATACAAGAGAGGATGAAAATGTCGAGTTGAAAGTATTTTATCAATGTAAGAAACTCTAGGAAAGGATCATCCTAACCAGCTGGGAGTAAACCACAGAACCAAAATTTTAGGGCTCCGTCATACCAATTCTTCAGATAAAAAATTTCCACATGTGAATATCACTAGATAATTCGACAAGGAAAATATGAGCATTCGGCATGTAAACAAGAGAAACTGCAGCGCACAGGATTCTTCTCTTACCCCGGAATCTAATTGTTGGATCTTCGAAAATGCAATCTTCAGCATAAATAGCAGAAGTAAAAACTCCTGTTTTGAGCAAAGAGGTCACTATAAATAAAAGCACGACTATGTAGTGCTTTTGGGCACTGCACGAATGAGTTTTATCATCCTGTCTTAAACTCAGAACATTTTAACATCAGTTCCCTAGGGTGCCAAGAAACAATGAGCACGGGCCTAGATTGATGATGGGTTTTTAAATTTAAAGACAATTCCTGTAAATCTCTTCTTCAGATTCT